AAGTTTAAAAAATTAATTTTATAACATTTAATAGTAACACGATGGATATCACAGTAATAACGGAATTAGAATTTTCAAGATATATTTATTTGGGGCATAATTTTAATACACAGCATAAATTTTTAAATATTTATTTTTCAAATGTCACCAGCCATGAGATAAACTGTAAATTTTTCTTTATATGCACAACACTCAATTTTAACCAGTCACTTAAAAGTTAAATAAAAGTTGTTATAGTCCAGTCTATGTTGCAAAACAATGACGAGTATTTCAAAAGTGGTCTGCAAAAATATTTGTAGATAATACTTGATTGTTGTAGGGTTTGCTTTTGAAAGTTAATCTTGTATTTTGTGTTTAATATTTGATGCAAAGAAATATGTAAAATGTTGTGGCTCAATCATAATGCTAAGCCAGCTGCAATATAGGTTAAAAATAACAGTAAAGTGATACACAATTCTGCATGCATGACTTTTTAGTTATAAACTATTGCAGTATAAAAATCACAAAACTCCACAATTTGATAAAAAAAAAAGTTAGATAATATAAACTGAAGTGCTGATTTGCTGACAATCCGATGGTTGGATCTACTGTCAAATGGAAACATCTTAATTCTCAACTCTACCCTATTTAACTATAAATGGACTAATGAACTTGAATATAACAAAATATAACTTTAGGTATTCTTAAATATAAGTAGGTATGAAAATAAAACTGAAGAGAAAATGGTAAAGGAACCAAAGAAATTTTGTGTGAAGAACTGAGACTTTAGTGTCAAGAAGCTTGAAGCATACTGAATAACAAATGTTGGAGAGGATGACCAGTTGGTCATCCTCCTTTTTATTTTATCTGCTGGTTAAGAGAAAGAGATACAAAATTAAACAGGAGGGAAGCAGAATAAATGTGAAGAAAACCTTCCAGACACAGAAGATTGCAAGTCAGAGTAAGACAGAAACTAAGAAGTGAATGAAGTAAAGTAAACCCATAGTGCCACCCTGGGATTTCCTCTTTTCTTATATATTAATCAGGGAACCAGTAGAAAAGCCTACTTTTGATAATATTTGTGTAAACTGGTTCAAATAGTGATTTGCCAGGTTTACTTAGTCAAGGATTATCATCTAGGAGTGGATCACACAAGGTAGTTTTGGCTAAAGTTTACATAGTTCAGAATCTAAAAGTTAAAATGAACTTTTATTTGCTGATGAGCAAACTGACAGTAAAAGGTATGAATATTTAGAAAAATCTTGCTCTGAAAAGACTCCTGGGGTGTCTATGGGAGAATAACATAATTTCTAGGATAACTAGTCTAGATAATCAACTAACATGTGTGTACAGATTCTAAGTTTAAGAAGTTAGCTTGGAAGATAGAATAATATATATAGCAATCTGTGAATAGTTATTGATATGTAATAGCCTGCATACAACTGGTAGTAAGTTTAACATAAATTTATAAAAGGTTATATAGAAATAGAATGTAATCTCACATTCTAGGAGCTAATTACCTCCAATTAAATATTTATTTTTATAAATAAGAAAAAAAAAGTTTGTTGAATTTCATTTGGCTTTTAGAAGCCAAGATGGAAAATATTTTACATAAACATACTTGCCAAATTTTGTGATAATTTCCACTGAAACACATACTTATCTGAGTGTTCCCACCTTTATTTAATTATTGTCACATTCAGAACCAACACATTTTCCAGAGTGAGTGGATACACCTAACGAAGCTATACAAATTGCTTTATAAAAACTGTACTTCTTTCTATTCTTCCTACAGCCTCTTCTATTAGTTAACTGAATTAGTAAAATTTTCTAAAGTCATTAAAAGTAGAAATTTTCAAAATGAAGTGCAAGGACTGATGGGACACATTAAATTAATTCCACCAAATCAAGAATGGAATCAATTTAGGAAAAGGTCTCTGTTCCCACAATTCACCTTTGACTTTCCCATTTAGTTTTGCAATATAAGAATGTCGGGAGTGAAGAGAAGTTAAATGATTTTAAGATTCATGATGGCACATGTGGCACTGAATTTTGTCTGGAATTAGTAATTATTTCTCAAGCAACAAACACCACAGGCATGTCTATACATCTTCTTATGTTTTCCTAACTCTAAAGCCATTAAGGTATCTGGTTTGGCTTATATTCAAGCCACAATTGTGCTGGAGTTTAATGACTAAATTTCTTACAAAATGTTAGTCCGTCATGCATCCTGTCATACAGCGTGTAGGCAGTGTGGTGTGGATGAAAGAGGTGTGAAGAGAGCAGGCCTAGGTTAGAAAATCACAGCTTTGTCAATTACAAGGTGTAGACCTCAGGCAAACTAGTTAGCTTCTCTTAGCTTCAGCTTCCCCTACTGTAAAATGGGAATATTAACCATAATTCTCATATGGTTGTCATGAGGAATCAAAGAGATAATGTATTTATATCCCAGCATTCAGTATGTAATAAATAGCCAATTAGTATTTGTATCTACTCCTTTGCCTTCCCGTAACTTTTTACACCAGTATTTCCCCCCCCCAACTATGCATTTAAAAAGAGGGAACTTTTTAGGAACTATCATTATATCATTTTGTCTACATTCAATTCAAATTAAGTTCTTTCAAAGACTTAGTTCTGATATACAATTATGATAGTTAAGGGAATTATTCTGATTACCTATTATGATGCTTTTAAGGTTATAATACTTTAAAGGTTGAATTTTAGTATTTTTTTCATTAAATGAATGGCTTCTTATTCAAAGGGACCCAAATGCTCTTCTACATGCAAAAATTTTTGAATACAGCTAAATATTAGATTGAAGATACATTTATTATTAAATAGTTTACAAATGAGTATTTTATGTAATTTTGCTTGCCTGTATATTTGCAAACAGATTCTAAATCGGTCTGAGGTAAATTTAACTTAAAATTTATTAAAATGATCTACACTCGCTATTTCTCCTACTTTACCAAGAGTCTGCTAATAAAAACATAGAGAAAGAAAATTATTTGTTTTAAGCATGCTTGCATAAAATGGGAAACTATAAGGAGTTCTTTTAATTTGGTATACCAATTTTTGAGAGCATTTTACTACTAAATACCAAAAAATCCTGAAAAACTTACAATCAACTGGCCCAAACACAGTGTAGTAGAATGTAAGGCAACTCTTCTTCTGTCTGGAAAAGATCAGTTAGACCTCAAACAGTCATTTATCTTTGTTGCTTCCAATTGAAGAAGAAATGTAAGTTATTTTGACTCAAAGGTGTTCTACAATTACTTAAAAATAATATCCTGAAATGCAGTTGGAAGACATTTAAAATTAAGAGAACCAAGGGAAATTTTACAGGAAAAAATATAAATAACTCATTACATAGATAAAAAAATAAATGAAAAATTTTTATGCCAGATGATTGAAAAATATATTAAGGGTCTGAATGAATAGAAGGGCCAATAAAATACAAAAGGTGGAAATCTCGGGCACTAGCAAAATAATGTCATTTCTAAGATTTCAAAACCGTGTTCAGCAATCCAGCTGAATAAATGGCTAAGCACTGTGACATCTCTCTTCGTAAGATCACAATAGATGGTAAACAAAAGAAGGCTTATGCACACAAGTCAGTCACACATATGTATTCTGGACAGCAAATTGAGAAACAGAGTCTATCTCTAGCTAAGTGATGCAGATAGAAGAATATGAGCAAGAAAACTTTGTTCAGGAGATAAAAACCTCAATCAGGAATTTGTGTTTTCCTGTGAGCTTTTTATCCCCAGAGAAATCTTAGAACTGAAAGTCTATGAAGTAATCTGAGAATCTGGGGGAAAAAATGATCTTTTCATTGTTTGCAAACTGATAGAAAATAATTGTGCTTATAAAAAAGTCCCTTATTTGACATAAAGTGCTTTATTTAAAAAGAAAAAAACATGCAGAGGTTGTTTTAGAGACGATTATCAGTAATGAAAGAAGCAAAGGAAGCTTTAAAAACAACATGATACATGATGTTATCACTGAAAGGTACATTCTAATATAATGTAAATCATAAAACGATGGTCACATATCAAAGATGATGTAAAAACTGGCAAATGGAAAAACTATGAAAATAAGATTAGTGAAGAAACACAGTTTAGAAAAGAGAGAGCTAAGTCCCAGTCTGCTCAAAAATGACAGGTTTGGCAGCAATTCTTCCTTTCACAGGGACTTGGCATGCCAGCTGAACGATTTTTCTACACAGTGTTTTAGGTCATGGGAACAGGAATAATTTCCAGATAAAGTTACCAGGCCTCGTTTGGGAAAAGAATAAAAAAGATACTACAGGTTCACAACTATGAATTACTTTTGAAGTTATTTTAAACAGGATGTAATTTTATTTATGTCAAACACAGCATATTCAGAGAATGAAGACTATAATACTACATTGTGTTAACCATCTACCTACTTAAAAATTCCATAAGGAAAGCTCTGTAAGTTTTCTGATAAAAATGTGCTTCTTAAATAAATGAATATGGAACATGAACACATATATAAAAAATAAAATGGAAAACAGCTAATATTTGACTCACTTTTTGTTCTGTGCTCTTACAAACTTCCAAAACCAGAAACCAAATATGTTTATTAAAATGCCCGGAAGGAAATGTTTAGGATTTGGAAGGATAAAAGAAATGGCATTTCAAATTAGGTTTTGGTAGTTCCTTCTTTAGAGCCCTTTGAGAAAATGTTTCTGCATTCTCCATAAGGAGAGAGAAAGCAAGAAATCAGGTAGCTGCTTTCTCTTGTGCAAAAACTCACTGTCAAAGAACTGACCTGCCAAAAGTATGGAGGGTAGGGAAGGAAAATGTTCATATCTTGGAAGAATGTGTGCTCTGTTAGGAAGAGAGCTTACGAGAAAGCTTATTTGTGGCCTATAGACTATTGCACATTCAAACAAAACACAGAGAAAAGAATGTCCAACAGATAATGCATTCAGGAACGTATCAACATACAAACTAGCTTGTGCCCAGAAATAAAACATGGATACCAGACACCACTGCAGTCAAACCTGTCTTAATTTGCTTCTGATTTAATGACCTTTAGAAACTGGTCCAAACTGATTATCAGCAATACATTGTTTCTGCTTTTTCTTAAAAAAATATTTTGAGACCACTTTTGATACACACACATATAATTCTGTGGTCATAACAGACAAATATAACTTTAGCGAGACTAAACAAAAGTGCAAAACTTAAAAAAAAATTAAAAAATATGGAAGCATAAGCTAAATTTTTCTGCATAGCTGAAATCTATTTAAAGCAAGTCCTTGTTGCAGGGGTAGGAGGGGGTACTGACAGGAGGATAAAGCAGTTTTTTCTTTTAATGTCTTCTGCACATTTAAATGATGCAAAAAATAATTTCACTCCATAGGTTTGAAAACATTTCACAGACAGTTCATCCCTATATCTTTAGACACCATCGTCGTGGCGGTGCCTCCATCTGCAAGGTAAACAGTGGTGCTGGATTTGGAATGCACTGCCCTGTCTTTGCCATTGTTGTTGACCTCACAGTCCAGTGGTTCAGTGGAAATGACCCAGGTGGAGGGGCGCCACCGCTTAAGAGAATAGGGAGTTTTCACTCGTTTCTTGATCTTTTCACCAGATCCTGATTTGCCATCTTGTGTTGACTCACCTACTGAAAATAAAAGTGCAGAAAAATGAACTATACATAAAGAAACTAATAAAAAGTGAAAATTAGGGTTGTAAATGGATGAGAGCAAATGAATGTCTACAAGAGAAGCTAACAGACATTTCTTGAAATTCATGATGCCAAATAGTATTTTTCTAACTTTACCAAATTATTTTTGAAATTCTTTAAGCACAGTGTTTCTATAATTGGTTGAATTACTCTATAGGCAAGGAAAAAATATAGAAAAACCTCAAAAAGCAAAAACAGGAGAAAATTCCAAGTTCTCAATTGTATTCTCAAATCCTTTGGTTATTGGTAGAAATCCTAACTTGGCAAAATGCATTTAATCTTTCTATTTCATGATCAGAGCAGTCACCTAGAATATACTTATTTTTCAGAAGAATGACATAAACACTCGAGTGCAAATTTTCTAGTGATTTCCCCTTCCCATACCTGGCAAGACATTTTACAGATGTGGACCCTTGCCATAATTTATGTCAACTCTTCAATACAAGCTACTCAAGCAAAGGGCTAGGTTCTACTGAGTATTTTGACAGCCTGATCCCATTAGCCCATTTTGTAGTCTTTGACAACAAACATAAAATGTGACTTTTTTTCATAACTGCTATCAGTCTAAATTATTTTGTACAATAATGACTGTCTTAGTGAGCTCTCCTGTCTTTAGTGAAGATTTTAGTGAGCTCTCCTGTCATGTTATAATCCCTCAAGGGCCATAAACCAAGTATCAAGTTATTTGTGTAAGTGGCTAAGGGCCCCATAGCACAATGCTATAGGCACACAGCTCCTGAAAATACTGACATGAAAAACCAAGAATAACTTTGTAGTTTCTTTTCAGTGACTTTTCTGAATTTTCTCTGCACTTTTCAGATTTATTAAGATCAGTCTGATAAAGCCTAAATGTGTATATAATAGGTATAATATGCTCAATAAAGTGTTTCTAAAGTTGCATTGGTATCATTTTACTGGCATGCTTTAAACTAGAAAGTACAAAATCTCAACTATGCACAGCAAGTATGTGAGCTGCATTATAAACCAGAAGCTACATAAGGTACACATTAAGTCAGTGATTATTCTGATCATTGTGACACTGACTTTTTAATTATCAGCAAAAAAATTACCTTTTTAAAAACAAATGTCTAATTACTTTTGAAATCCAACCAAATGTGGTAAAAGTAAGTAACTGCTAGTTGAAACATAATCTATATCTAGCTAAATATATTTAACTGGTCTCAAAATCCCTCCATTTATACAATCCCTCCACTTACACTGCAAACTGCTGCCATCAAGGACATTGGTGGCTGAAAGATCCAGAGAATTAGGCCTCTGTGCTCTTCTAGGCTTTGATGGTCCAGGGTCTGCTACTGTGCTTGGAACACCCTGTGTGAGAACTTCTTGCTCAGAACATGGATTGCTGTTGTTGTTGTTGGAATTAGTTCGGCCGCCTTCTAGGGGCCGTTCTCTCCTGTCCACAAGACGATCCAGGACACCTTCATCATGGCCAGCCTGCTGCTCTCGTCTCAGTAAAGGTTCATGCTCATCAGGACTGGAATTAATGTTCAGCCGAGTGTCCTCGCCAATGAATTGATTCTGCAGCATCTCTTGGGCTCTGTGTGCCGCTGTGTTAGCTGTCTGGCCAGATGGTACTACCCCATTGGCATACTGAGTAGTGGCAGTATGGGCATTAACGCTGTGGTTTCTACCTGCCACACCATTCATAGTGACTGTCACTATGTGAGGTTCTGCAGCATTGATTGTATTCATCTTGGCAACTCCAGTTTCTACTTGTTTCAAGTTTGATTTGTGCTTGCTGCCAAATTTCAGCCTCGGCTCCTTTGTTGAATTTTTGGTGTTTAAAGGCAAACTAGTAGGTCTCTTAGGAAGGTTCTGTTGCTTGGGGAGAGGATAGATCTGAGCGGGTGGGACATCAGGAATTAAACATGCTTGGCCATTTGCAGCCTGTGTGAAGTCCTGCTGTCCAGTCACTTCAACTGCAAGCTTTATAAGTGGGTAAAGCAAGCTAGAACTGGTACTGCTCAGTGGGTCTGGCCCACTGAATTGTTTAAGAGAATGCTCCATGAGATTCTCATCAGAACTTTCCTTGAGGTTTTTATCGACTTCTTTTGGGTCCAGCTTGTTGGTCTCCAAGTCTTCTTCGGTCAGTTGTAAGCAGACAGGAGTTGGCCCGACTGGCTGTGACACATTGGTGGCATGCAGACTTGTTTCATCTGGGTATGGCACCTCAGATATAGTGGTCATGCCGGTACTTGGAGTTAGGCCAGTGGTGTTTGTGGTTGTGGTGTTGGTAGACAAGCTGGTGACGCTTGTTTCAGGGCTGGGGATTCGAGCCTGTGCTTGCTGCCGTTCATAGTTAATTGAGTTTCGGTTCTTTTCCCCTATAGTCAAAGGTGTGCTGGACATCGAATGCTCAGAAGAAATGTTCTTCACAATGCTGTCAGTGTGATGGATAGAATCTTCAATGTATGAGGAAGAAGAATAATCTGGATAAGGGCCAATCTTTGGCACACGCCTATTGTGTGACAGGTTGCTTAAAGAAAGAAAAAAGTGTCACATTGAGAATATATTTATGACAAAGTGACTCTTCAAGTTTAACAACTCTGATTTGTAAGTATAAACTGCTTTCTCATTTATTCCTAACCCACGTTATTCTTGAAGCTATTTAAAAATTCTAACCAAATGCTAATCCAGTATTGACAAATATTAACTAAAAATTTGCTATAGGCTAGTTTTATACTAGCTGTATATTGTCACCCTGCTTACTTAACTTATATGCAGAGTACATCACGAGAAACACTGGGCTGGAGGAAGCACAAGCTGGAATCAAGATTGCTGGGAGAAATATCAATAACCTCAGATATACAAATGACACCACCCTTATGGCAGAAAGTGAAGAGGAACTAAAAACCCTCTTGATGAAAATGAAAGAGGAGAGTGAAAAAGTTGGCTTAAAGCTCAACATTCAGAAAAGTGGTCATATATGTGGTCATGTATGGATGTGAGAGTTGGACTATAAAGAAAGCTGAGTGCAGAAAAATTCATGCTTTTGAACCGTGGTGTTGGAGAAGACTCTTGAGAGTCCCTTGGATTGCAAGGAGATCCAACCAGTCCATCCTAAAGGAGATCAGTTCTGGATGTTCATTGCAAGGACTGATGCTGAAGCTGAAACTCCAATACTTTGGCCACCTCATGCGAAGAGCTGACTCATTGGAAAAAATCCTGATGCTGGGAGGGATTGGGGGCAAGAGGAGAAGGGGACGACAGAGGATGAGATGGCTGGATGGCGTCACCGACTCGATGGACGTGAGTTTGAGTAAACTCCGGGAGTTAGTGATGGACAGGGAGGCGAGCTGCCATTCATGGGGTCGCAGAGTCAGACATGACTGAGCGACTGAACTGAAACTGAGTTTTATACCATTTAAGCCTATCAGAAAACTGATGGGGATCTATAGGATTTTTACAGATGTTCATTATTTTAGTTTGTGTTATTAATTAAAAAAAACTCCCCTATAGTTTTGTAGCATTAGCAAGTATGTCTTTATGTATTGTATATTTGCTCAATTAGACATAAATTTCCATGAAAGGAGGAACCAAGGCACTTGTCTTTTGTGTTTCCGTAATTCTAGATACACAGTGGATACTCAACAAATATTTTACCAATTAAGTTCCAAATGGTAAAAAGAACACAAACTTTTAGGCTGTTCCAAAGTGCTCCATTAAGGGATATGCTCTAGCAAAGGAATGTATCTTCCTAGGTAGAGACTGAGCCATATCAATGGAAGTCCTAGAGCCTAGAGTATAAGGCAGAATGTGATACTCAGATTAAGAAGAAAAAAAATCAAAGACTCAGAACTGCTCTCCAGTTACCAAGGGTTTTACACTTTCACTGTTACTTCTTGAGAATGATGGTTCTTGAGCAGCATGCTGTAATATATTTATGTTTTTAAAAATAAAAGCCAAGCCAAGGCACCAAAACAACCCCATATTGTTCACAGATAGATGAACAAATATACTCTATGATTTTACTTTTATGTTGAATCTAAAAAACCAAATAAATGAACAAACAAAACTAAACAGAAACACAGACAGAGATGCAGAGAAGAAACAGGCAGCTGCCAGAGAAGAAGGGGTTGGAGGGAAGAAGAGGAATAGGTGAAGGAGATGAAGAGGTATAAAATTCTACTTTCAGAATAAACAAGTCATGGGTATGAAATGCACACTGTGGGGAATATAGTCAATAACTATGTGATGTCTTTGTATGGTGATATACCATAACTAGACTTATGTTGGTGATCATTTTGAAATGTATAGAAGTAACAAATCACTATGTTGTATAACACGAACTAACATAATGTTGTAGGTTAATTATATTTTTTTAAAAAACCCACAGAAAAAGCAATAAGACCTGTGGTTAACATATGCAGAGGGGAACAGGTAAGGGGAATGGAATGAAGGCAGTCAAAAGGTCCAAGCTTTCGGTTATAAGATAAATAAGTACTAGGGATCTAACATATAGGATAAAAACAATTAACACTGCTGTATGCTATATAGGAAAGGTGTTAGGACCAAGATCCCTGGTGGCCCAGTGGCTAAGACTCTGAGCTTCCAATGCAGGGTATGCATGTTTGATCACTGGTTGGGGAACTAAGATCCCACATATTGCTTGACATGGCCAAAAAATAAAACGAACAAAAAAAATAAAATGAAAGCTGTTAACAGAGTAAATCCTAAGAGTCCTCATCCCAATGGGAAAAACTGTTTTTTACCTACTTCCTTAATTTTGTATCTGTATGAGAATGATGAACATTTACTAAACATTGTGATAATCATTTTATGTATTAAGTCAAATGATCATTCTATACATGTTAAATTTATAGAGTGCTACATGTCAATTATATCTCAATAAAACTGAAAAGAAAAATAACATAGAAGTGAAGGGTAGTTTAAAATCAAGTATAAACAATCAAATATAGACAGTGGTGGGAACATTAACAGATACAAGCATTACAGAAGAAAAGCAACAACTAAAGGAAAAGTGCTATGAAGAAAAAGTGATGAAGTTACGAGGGGAATGACAGGAAGGGGAGGAACAGAAAAGCTTTTGTATTGCCCAAGAGGGATGGAAGGAAAGAGCCAATACAATGAACCCTAGAGTAGAATGAAGTTAGATGAATTACAATTTGGAGGAAAATTCCGAAGTCAGCAGACATGAAAAGCAGCATGTTAAGGGTAGAACTGAATGAGGCAAACATGGCCACAGCAAAGGAAAGCATCCAAAAAAAAAAAAAACAGCATTTCCTCCTCCCAGTTAAGGAAAGTTCAAAAGCACTTAAAGCAAAAGAGCTGACTGAGGTACAAACAGCATACTAAAGCAGACAGAAAACACAGAGATAAGCAGTGATGGAAACAGAAGACTATCTTCAAGGCATTTGTAAGCTGAGAAATTTATATTTAGAAATGCTAATTTATATTTTCCTTAACTTGCTGATATTTAATAACAGAAATAAAGGTTTATACTCTGAAGGTAATTCAGTCCAAGCACAAGCGGTTGTAAACCCAATGTGGGATCCACAGTTCAGAATATGAATTTTCTTAAAAATTAGAACAACAGAAAATATCAAAGAAAATGATTCAATAATTCAGTTATTTTTTATCTCAATTTTCTGTGCTTACTCTTTCTTTCCTGAATGATTCTCTGAAAAATTTTAACATGTTTTATTTAGATAAAATGAAAATTTGTGGAAAGACTTTATCACCTAAACACAGAATGAAGAAACACAGATTACATGGTCTGAAAAGTTTCAAGTTTTAGAATTTTTTTCTAAAAGCCCTTCTAAGAAGTTCTAATAAAGATAGTTTAAAAAAAATCATAGTTCGAATAAAGAAATGTCTCATAAAGTTCATGATGAGACAAAAAGACTTATGAACTGCTTTCATGTAAAAGTAGCAGCATTATATAAAGAAAGACCACTGGATAGGGAACCTGCAAAGCCTAGTTTCCAGTGAAGCAATGGTTAGATACATACGCAAGTTCACAGTTCTATTTGCTTTAAACAAACAAAATTCAGGGGAAAAAGAAATAACAACCACAAAGGATAATCAAGACAAAACAGTATGCAGAAGTGCATATAAAACTTTTAGAACTATGAAAATGCTTTTCCTTTATTATTGTAGGGAACTTCGTGCATTAACAGAGAAAGACTGATCTTTTACTGTATTGTTAGAGATGAAAATCCATGGATTTCATCTTGCACTTACACTAAACAAGAACATTCAGTAAAAGAACAGGAATACTGAAAGAAAAATTATGACATTAGATTGCATGAGTTAATCATTGTACGCTTAGACTGTTTTAACAGTATTTATTTCCTATTCTCTAGTATCAGATTTAAATTCTGACAGACGGATTCCAAACCCTTAGTGTCTTACCGCTCATTCTGCATAGCAGTAGACATTGGATTGACTGTTGGGCTCACAGACTTGTTTCTTTCCCATATCATCATAAGTTCAGCCATCCTCTCTTCAGCACACTGCGCAGTAAGCCGAGCCTCTGCATCCTGGTCCCAACAGTCTTCGATTGTCTCCTTAAGTGATCTCACTGCCTGTAATAAAGTATATGTCAAACACTGTATCTTGCCAAAACATAACTAAATTTTTTTAGTGACATGAGGTGAAAGAAAAAAAAATCAATTTTATTTAACCCAATATTTTACATAGCTATAATATCTTAAGACATCAGGGATTTGTAAAGGGCCATATTTCTCAAAAGGTGAGGAACAAGTCCAGTAAGAAAATTTTAACTGAACTCACTGAAGAATTATCCACAAGAGTAAGCAGCTGTAGTAAGTCATGTGTTTCTTTAATGCCACGTGTCTCTGCTGTTGTGGATCCAGGGCACTGCTATTTCAATCAATAGCCATTAATTCTACTTCAAACATGAGTTAAAAAAATTCTGACACTAGACTGTCTTCAATCTCTAAGCAAGCTTTTCCTCCTTTACTCCTAGTAGTGTGCTTCATTCCAATCATAAATCTTAAAAGCCTGACATCTTCTTCTTATTTAAACTAGTTTCATTAGTAGTATCAAAATCAGTCCTATTCTGTAACATTCATATATATCAGCAATGAACAGCAGTGTTCCGTTGGGAGAAAGTTGGTGCAAACTCCCTTTTAAAAGACAGACTTTATATACTTTCGACGGACTGGCATCCAGAATTCTTACTCTCACTTGTACTCTGATTTTTTTATTAGGTGTCAAGCTCTTCACCTGCCAGTACATTTCTTGTATCTTCAAGACACTTTCAAAACAGTAAGGCCAGGATTGCCAGATTTAACAAGTAAAAATATCGGATACTACTTAATTTTAATTTCAAATAGTTGGACAAATCATTTTTTACAGTAAGTATAGTCTCGCCAATTCATAAATCGAAGTATATTATCTGGCAAGCCTATTTTAAGCTAGAAATTGTTGTGAGGAATCTTGGTAACATTTTTAATGTTTCCTAATAATTTGTGTTCTGTAACAACTTGAACCTGGGGTCTCTGGGAAACATCTGCTGTTGCTGTTGTTCAGTCACTCAGTTGAGTCTGACTCTCTGTGACCCCATGAACTGCAGCACACCAGGGTTCCCTGTCCTTCGCCATCTCCCAGAGCTTGCTCAAACTCATGTCCATTGAGCCAATGATATAATCAAACCATCTTGTCTTCTCTTGTCCCCTTCCCCTCCTGCCTTCAATCTTTCCCAGGATCAGGATCTTTTCTAATGAGTCAGCTCTTTGTATCAGGTGGCCAAAGTATTTGAGCTTCAACTTCAGCATCAGTCCTTCCAATGAGTATTCAGGATTTATTTCCTTTACGATTGACTAGGTGGATTTCCTTGCAGTCCAAGGGACTCTCAAGAGTCTTCTCCAACACTATAGTTCAAAAGCATCAATTTTGGGGTGCTCAGCCTTCTTTAAGGTCCAACTCTCAAATTCATACCTGACTAATGGAAAAACCATAGCTTTGACTAGATAGACTAATGTTGGCAAAGTAATGTCTCTGTTTCTTAATATGTTGTCTAGGTTTGTCTGGGAAACATGATAGTGTTCTTGCTGAACATATGCTCACTGTGTACATGCACCACGGGCCCACCCTTAATACCATTTTTCCCTGGCTGTTCTGAGTTGTCTGCCTCAGGACAGTATGGATGATTCTCCAATCCTGCTCAGTACACAGATCAAAGAGTGTATCTTTTAAGACTCAACTTTACTTTGAGTTTTGAAATCTATTTAAAAGTATATTCCAGGCTCTGTTGGGTAAAAATTAAAATATGAACAATAGACATAAACACCAACTAATAATCTTCTCATTAAGCAATAAAAATCTACCTATTTCTCAAGATATGGAAGAAACTGAAGAATAGATAATGATAATCTGGAGTTTAATAGCAAGTGCATCACCTCCCTGAGGTAAAAGTTTGGTGTTTATAAGTATGGTTGAGTCTGTTATCAATAGCAGTCATGTTCTATAAAGTTGCTGTGTACTGAATTAATGATGAAACATTAATCCTAGAGGAAATACAGGATTAGGGACCTGTGAGTCTCTGAATATAGCATTTTCATCAACTGATCAATAAATAATCTTGTTTTACTTGTGTTTCTGTTTAAAGACACCTTTTAAAATATATATTATCAGTTTAAGTCAGATAGAAAAGGAGAAATACTGTATGACATCCTTTATATGTGGTTATCCAAAAAGAGATGATACAAATGAACTTACAAAACACAAAGAGACTCACAGACTTAGAAAACAACCTATGATTGCCTGTACACACTGCTGTATTTAAAATGGATAACCAACATGGACCTACTGTACAGCACAAGGAACTCTTCAATGTTATGTGGCAGCTTGCATGGGAGGTGAGTTTCAGGAAGAATGGGTTTAGGTATACGTATGACTGAGTCCCTTCACTGTTCACCTGAAACTATCACATTGTTAATCAGCTATACTCCAATACAAAAAAAAAGTTTAAAAAAATACATAAAATCATTTTATTAACCTGTACTCATGGCCATAGCACTACACCTCATGCCCTAATGGAGTTCATCTAGAACATGTTTTCCTTTCTTCATAAGGAATATCTAACTTTCCTTGTGCTTAGGAATATCACCTAAGAGTTCAACGTTATACTTAAGGGCCATTTTAAATGGTGAAATCACCAAAAAATGCAAAAAAAAAAAAATGCGAAAAATAAGGCAGTGAATACATAGCAAAAAGGATACTTGTTTACAATACAAGAGGGGAAACACGATAGCCTTATTAGACCTCCAGCTGGGAACACGTACATCTGAACTCAAGTTTTTCATTGCTCTGCACACATACACAAATGACTGGGACAGCGATCTGACTACTAATTTTGGGATTACAGACATACTTTAGCAAGTAGTTGAATTCCAAATATGAAATTCATGAATAATGAGCAAAGACTATTTTTAATGGATTTAAAAATGACTTGGATTTTAAGATAACTCAAGAAACTCAAGAATCAATTATAACTACCTTTTTATGATAAATATATATAAAAACTAGTTATATATTTACCTTAGTAGATTTTAACATTGGTTTGAAAAAATGTACTGGTCATAAGTTATGAAGAGAGGAATTTTTCTTTTCCTTTTGAAATAATTTCAAACATACTTTTCTTTCATGATCTTGACATTTTAAAAGACTATGCAGACCTAAAAGTAGACGTTACTTTTGAAAATGTTTCTCAATTTATCTGATATTTCCTCCTGATCAAATTCAAGGTTTGCATCTTTGGCAGAAAATCACAGGAGAGATTTGTGTTCTTCCCATTCTTCTTCCTATCATGTACACATTTTTTATTTGTCCCATTACTAGAGAAGTTAACCTTAACAACGTGACTAAGTTGGTGTCTGCCAGGTATCTTTCCTGTAAAATTCCATTTTCCCTTTAATAATTAATCACTGTTTGGGGAGAGGGAGAGTACTCAAAGCTCCTGTATATATCTTGTTCTGCATTCAACTTTTCACCCATTGGTTTCAGCATCTCTTGCTGATTCTTGGATGAATCAATTATTTCTATGATGCTTGCCATTAAGAAGACATTTAAAAAGTGATAGCAAATCCATAACAGGAATGTAGATGAAGTGCATATAAGTAAGAAAAACAAACACCTTTAAAATATGCTAAAATGCTCAACCTTACTCATCACGTTGAGGTAGTACAATGAAGAAGTTAAGAATATTAGTTCCAAATTTGTAGTGTTAGTACCAGCTCAATCAAGATCCTGGTTTCAAACACTGCCTTTATTATTTATTAGGTGCAAATCAAAATAAGATTTATTTTTACCTAACACATTAACTGATGAGAAGAACTGACTCAATGGAAAAGACCCTGATGCTGGGAAAGGTTGAAGGCAGGAAAAGGGGATGACAGAGGATGAGATGTTGGATGGCATCACTGACTCAATGGACATGAATTTGAGCAAGCTCCGGGAGGTGGTGATGGACAGGGAAGCCTGGTGTGCTGCAGTCCATGTGTCACACAGAGCTGGACACAACTGAGTGACTGAGCTGAAATGAACACATTAACAAAGACAAATAACATTTCATACCACCTAGTGGTAGTGACGGAGAAGGCAATGGCACCCTACTCCAGTACCCTTGCCTGGAAAATCCCATGGACGGAGGAGCCTGGTGGGCTGCAGTCCACGGGGTCGCTAAGAGTCGGATGACTGAGCGACATCACTTTCACTTTTCACTTTCATGCATTGGAGGAGGAAATGGCAACCCACTCAAGTGTTCTTGCCTGGAGAATCCCAGGGATGGGGGAGCCTGGTGGGCTGCCGTCTACGGGGCCGCACAGAGTCGGACATGACTTAAGCAACTTAGCAGCAACAGCAGCAGTGTTAGTGATGAGAAAACAGGCACTGATATATTATTATTGGGAATGCCATCAATTTGGAGGGTAAATTTGTATTTTAAAACTTTCCCAAGAAAAAAACTCCAGGTCTGGATGGCTTTTGGAATGAATTCAACCAAACATTAAAAAAATATAATAATAATGCCAAGTCTTCACAAGTCTTCCAGGAAATCAAACAAGGGACGTTATTTCCTAATTCATTCTATGAGGACATCAGTCAAAACAAAGCAGAGCAAGGAACTTTGGGGGACATTCCTCCCAAGCAGCACTGAAAACTTCGCAAATATCAGAATCAACTTTACTGAAACTAACAGCAACCAACTTAAAAACATAAATGGGAGGAGAAAGGCCACTGAAACAGCCTAGGAGAACTGTTGTGTTTTAATTTAGTGCTGCCCCTGGACTAATGGCAAGTATGAAGATGGCAGTCCGTTTTTCCCAAGACAGGTACCTGTTCCCGGAGGGAGCAGAGTGACCTTGTTTCCAAGGAATTATGCTGTCTGTTTTGACATGTCTTCCCTTGAAGATCCAGTGCAATAGGCCTGTCTTTGTTCTGCCTAACTCAGAACTCTCTTAGCATAGGGAAGTGGCTATGACTAAGTAAGGAGAACTGTTGTGTTTTAATTTAGTGCTGCCCCTGGACTAATGGCAAGTATGAAGATGGCAGTCCGTTTTTCCCAAGACAGGTACCTGTTCCCCGAGGGAGCAGAGTGACCTTGTTTCCAAGGAATTATGCTGTCTGTTTTGACATGTCTTCCCTTGAAGATCCAGTGCAATAGGCCTGTCTTTGTTCTGCCTAACTCAGAACTCTCTTAGCATAGGGAAGTGGCTATGACTAAGTAGAGAACATTCTTTGGAAAAACTGAAAGACCAAAGAACAAGTGCTATAGCCTGGGGCAAAATATAAGTTGAGGCACACAAAAGAAATGCTGAAAGTCAAGGAAGAAAAGCTGGGTGTGAGAAACTTTGGGGAATAAGGGCACTGAAAATCTTCTGCATATACTGAAGAGTCTAAAAATCCACACAAAGGATCGGGGCAGGATGCATGCTCAGAGAAGATCACAAGCTTTCACAGCTGGCTGGCTCAGCCAATGAGAAGTCTTGGCTCAGTGCTAGCCGGCAGGGAAGTGTTAATAAAGGGTCCGAAGACAAAGCCCATCTGCAGTGACTTGGAGAGTCTTCCTTTTTTGTTTCCTTTTTGTCCATAATGATATCCAAAACATGTATTTTAAACAAAAAATTACAAAGCATGGGAAGAAACAAGAAACTATGCCCCATTCACAGGAATGAAGAAAGGAACAGAAACTGTCCCTCAGGAAATACAGACATTGGAGTTACTGGCAAAGACTTTAAATATGCTCCAAGAACTAGGAACCATGGATAAAGAATGAAAGGAAACTGGGAAAACAATGTCTCAACAAATGGAGAATAGCAATTAAGAGAGAGAAATTATAGAAAGGAATTAAAAAGACACTTGCAAGGTCAAAAGTAAAAACCCTGAAATGTAGAATTCACCAGAGTGGTTAATTGAGGATCTGAGCAGAGAGAAAAAAGAATTACCGAACATGAAGACAGGAAATAAAAATTACCTAGTCTGAGAAGCACAAACAAAAAAAGAATGAAGAAAATGAATAGAGCCTAAGTGAAGCACCATTAACCACATCAAAATACACAAAATGAATGACAGCCAAGAAGAAAAAATGGAGAAAGAATATTTGAAGAAATAATAATAACTTTCAAAATTTAGTAAAAGAAATAAATCTACACATCCAAGAAATTCAATGAACTCAAGGAGAGTTCCATACCGAGACACATTATAATCAAATTATAAAAAGCCAAAGAGGAAGACAGAATCTTGACAGCAGCAAGAACAGCCACTTGAAACACACAGTTCAGTTCGGTTCAGTCACTCAGTCTTGTCTGACTCTTTGCAACCCCATGGACTGCAACTCGCCAGTTCTCCCAGTCCATCACCAACTCCCAGAGCCTACTCCAGCTCATGTCCACTGAGTCAGTGATGCCATCCAACCATCTCATTCTCCGTGGTCCCCTTCTCTTCCCACCTTCAATCTTTCCCAGCATCAGGATCTTTTCAAATGAGTCGGTTCTTCACATCAGGTGGCCAAAGTATTGGAGTTTCAGCTTCAGCATCAATTCTTCCAATGAATATTCAGGACTGATTTCCTTTAGGATGGACTGGCTGAATCTCCTTGCAGTCCAAGGGACTCTCAAGAGTCTGCTCCAACACCACAGTTCAAAAGCATCAATTCTTCAGTGCTCAGCTTTCTTTATAGTCCAACTCTCACATCCATACATGACTACTGGAAAAACCATAGCTTTGACTACACAGATCTTTGTTGGTAAAGTATTGTCTCTGCTTTTTAATATGCTGTTTAGGTTGGTTCCCTAGCAGTTTTTTAAATGGGTTTTTACATTCATTAACTTTGAGAAGATTTTGAGTTTTGTTACTACAAAAATGTTTTGTAACTACAAAAATGTTTTGTAATTTCAGTGCAACTACGAAGCAAAATGTCTTCATAGAAAGGGGGGATATTTCATACAGAAACTATGTATTTGCTATTTAATTCTACTACTAGATTGTCATTACACAAAAAGCAGCAGTTCTATTGACTGTAGCACATTAGACTTAAATGGATTTATTGGAAGTGAACCAAATATTACTTATTTCCTACTTAGCAACCTCATCTAAATTGAGAGTAAAAAGTTTTCAGAAAAATATGCATATCGTGCATATCCCATAATGGCAGGATTGCCAAAAGATACTTTAGAATAAGTAGTCCAATTTCTCTGGTGAAATAAAACCATTTATGGAAGATGAAGTTGTATTTTAGTAGATAAAATTTCACAAAGAGATTTTTCCTTGAAGCATACTCTACTGTGAGTCTGGTACATCTAATGAATCCTGGGAAAGGATTCAGCCTCTTACCTGAAGTCAGGGACCTCTTAAAAAAAATCTGTCCCAGTTCCTACAGTAAAGTAGAAAGTAGAGGGAAGGGGAGGAGAGTGGGAGGGAAGGAGGGAAAGTAAGCCTAGGGCTAAAAAATCAGAAGAGCGGGGTGACTTTTAAAACATTATTCCTCAAAAAGCAGTAGCTTCTAGTGACTAACAGGATTTTCACTTCCTTCTTTATGAGTCCAAGCACAAAAGTACGTTGTGCCAAGGATGTTTATACAACCATAATTTTACAAAATATCTGTGTTTTTATTTTATTAAAAATTTCATATCAATCTTTATACAAAATAAAAATATAGTATTATACAAATTATTATACTGTATTATACAAACACAGTATTATAAAACTAGGAGAGGATAAATGAGAGACAACAATAAATAAGAATAAACGTAATATTTAAAGTTATAATGGGAACTTCCAGAAGAGAAAGTTTAGAAACAAAAACAAAACCTCAGAACATTGTTAACATGAATTACTTCTGAAGGTAGGACAGGAGTAGGTAGCCTTTTCCCATTTCCTATTTTAGCCATTCCATTTAATTTGATTTTTTTTACCATATATAAGCATAACTTTAATTCTTCTAAAAGGTTTAAAAAATAAGAAATACAGGGTACTTTCATTAATAAAGAGCAATTCAATTACGACATATAATGAAATACTGACAAATTAGAGAGAAAGTGATAAATGTATATATGTACTGACATGAAAAATTAGTGAAAAAACAAGCTTCAGAAATGACAATGGATAATGAGATGATCCTACTCATGTTAAAAAAACATATGAGTGTGTGTGAATATATCTGTTGTATGCAAATGTTTGTTAAGATGTTTTTAGAATTGTAGCAACAAATTTACTGAAATGGCAGGAGCCTCCGAAAATATTTCAGCATTGTACACTTCATTTTTAATAAGCAGAATTTATACATGGTACTTTGGTTTCTTTTTGGTACAGTTTAAATTTCTATCAGTCAGTGAATATGTAAGTCTGCACTAATTAACATTTTTGGTACCACTCTCAAGAGAATAAATGGAATGGAATTTCAATCATGTTTGAAATATTATCATGTTAATTATTCCAGCTGTTACCCAACGTGGAAAACTGCAGACATAACAGTTAGTCTCTCTAAAGAGTATTTTATATTTGAAGAAAACAAATTAAAACACCTCCAACTCTGAAAATATACAACATCATACAAATCAAGTAAGTTAGATTTTTGGCATTAGACAACTCTAAAAACTGTTACCATTAACAATCTATTTTTGCTTTAAGCAACATTTAAAACATATTCAGTCATAAGTCCTCTTTTTCAATAATTTAGTTTTTCCTTACCAGGCTATTTTCTTTCCAAGCTTCTGGGAACTTGGGTCTCTGTTTTTCCCTAGACACCAGAACCTGCATATCTTCAAAAGTGGGATGATTTCCAACCTCTGTCTGAAAAGCCATCTGGTATTCTGGTACAGATTCACCTGTGAATTTTTTAAAAAAGGAATAAAATTTATTATTATCATTGTGGGTTTCATGCATTATCAATAAAAGCTCTACTTACAATAGTCTTTGTTTGATAAATTAAATGTTGCTATAAATTAAATGGTAGTTACAATGATGGGCAATTATTTTAAAATGGCTTCCAATATTACTGACTTGGGGGGAATGAGGGGTGGTGATGAACATTATTATATACATGAGGTTTAACACTTAAAACTATGCCTGAATTCTTATCCCATACAGGGAATTGAGGGTGGTGAATATGAGGAGAAAGTCCAAGATCTAGTACAACAAACGTATCTGTAGAACTAAATATAAGTGGGTGGGTTGTACAATCATGTCTTATCGCATCACTGGCTCTATTACAATCTAGCCAAATCTATCAAATGTCACAAAAATTTTCATGATAATGACCATCTGACAAAGAAAAAAATCAATGTATTGATTCTTCCCCTTAAAAAACAGTATCTAGATCAAGGATTTTAAAAATATCATGAACTATTCTATCACTGTTTAATAATTCTATTTATCACCAATATGTAATAGGGAATCAATTGTTTGTGATAAGAAACTTATGATTCTTACAAAATTTGATCAAATTAAACAATTATATTGAGCCACACAGAAGACCTTTGGGACCAACACTTAGAAAATCAATAGCAAAGAATACAACAGAGACTCTTCCTGTCTTCTTGTGCCTCCCCCAACACCATTAAAATGACAGGATAAATTAGAAGAAAGGATACCAGGATGGAGGAAAGACACTTAGGTTGTAATCTTGGCTTCATCTCTACCTTGGAAAAGTCATTTAACTATTTTGTGTTTCAGTCTTCCTGTCAGCAAAATGGCAATGTCTGCCTTCCTTATCTCACTCACATGGAGATAAAAGTCATAATTACCCAGAGAGAAAAAAAAAAAAAAAAAAAAAAAAGAACTTTACAAATCATGCAACTGAAGTTTAATGCTTCAATTTGAATATTAAAAAGCCCCACATATTTGCCCTCCATGAATATTTTTTTGAAAAGTTATAAAAATCAATTCTATAATTTATGTAGCATAGCTCACATTTTTTTGAATACTGCACTACCTTTAAATACAAATGATATTTTCACATACTCTGTAAACATTTAAGCATACTTAATTTTTTATCAATAAGCATCAACACTGAACTTGAAAGACACAACTCAAGTATTTCATCTGCCACCTAGTGCATCACCCTCTTTCATGAAATCTCACATGACAAACCCTCAACCCATACCATCTGTTAACTGTACTTGGTTACAGTTACTGTACTAGTATCTCCTGTGTTTCTGAGACATATACACAACACAGATACACACTTTCCAAGTGTTATTTTTTCTTCAAAGGTTCAATCAGTAGAATAAATATTTACAATTTTACTTATTTGCTTTAATCAGATCTAAATTATCATTAGAAAACATGCTATATAAAACAAATGCATAATCTTGTTTTGTGAATGGAATGACATTAAGAATTATCAAGTTTCTACTAAATCTTCATGGTTCTCATTTGTTACTTGTATGTCTCTAAGTAGTTAGAAACTCTCTAATCCACTTCTTAATTTACACCTGTTCTTTTCCTTTCTTTCTCCTGGTTCTTAATACTTTCTAACACTGACTTCCCCAATTCTCTCATTTCTTGGTTTCCTCTGTATTTTTATCTTCTTCACTAACCTATAATGGTGGAAGTGGCCTTACACTCACTCTTTACTTACCAGTGTTTCTCTCTTTGTTTATTCTCATAGGGGAGTGGAGTACATCCACTCATAAATTCTCAATTATCATCTCTATGTAGACAATTACCAAATAAATACTTTAATCTTAAATTCTTCATTCCTGAAGTTCTTCAGCAGTTTCTCAAATGCTCAGAGGGTGCATAAGGAAAATGAGAACTGCTAAAGGCATCAGAGACCAAACTTTCACTCGTCCATCAACACTCCATCCAAAAGCTACCATAACTAACGCATCTTTCTGAGACAAACCGGGGCTTTTTCCTAAGCTCCTTGTTGGCGCCCTTACTGTTTCTCAAACTTTTTAATATTTCTCAGTTTCCTAGACTGTCTCCAATAGCTAACGAGAACCACAGGTTTATTTTCCACATTTTACCTCACATACACCTTTTCTTCCCTATTTCTATATCTAAGATTACAGGGTATCTTAATACAACTCTCTTCTTTTTCCTTCATTTTTATTTTAAATTGTGGTTAAATGTATGTAGCATAAAATTTATCATTTAAACCATTTCTGAATGTACAGTTCTGCGGCACTAAGTGCATTCACAAAGTTGTGCATCCATGTCCAGAACTTTTTCTATCTTCCTAAACTGAAATTCTGTATACAGTTAACACTAACACTCAATTTCCTTTTCCTTTTTTAAACTCTTTCTAGCATTATTTCAATTTATCTTATATCTCCATTAAAATAATATTCTGCAAACAAGATTTAATTGCCTTTCCTGTGCAAATATTTGATATTATACTTTATAATTTACCAGTCCAAAAGGAATAGCTATTCTTTGAATGTAGTAATTGTTCAAAAAAATGCTGCTGATAGCAATGTACTAACTTAAGCTGACACAAGAATCATTTTAGTCACATACGCTTCTAAAAAACAAAAATTCTGGATTAGCATTTTTAAAACACTATGGCTGACATTTTAATAATAGAAATGAAAACTTACAAGGTTCCAATAATATGTGATACTACTGCAATCATTGCTATTTCCAGAAAAACACTTTGAGTACACAGTCAGCCAGTCAGTTCAGTAGCTCAGTTGTGTCTGACCCTTTGCAACCCCATGGACTGCAACATGCCAGGCGTTCCTGTCCATCACCAACTCCTGGACTTTACTCAAACTCATGTCCTTTGAGTCGGTGATGCCATCCAACCATCTCATCCTCTGTCGTCTCCTTCTTTCCAGCCTTCAATCTTTCCCAGCATCAGGGTCTTTTCAAATGAGTCAGTTCTTCACATCAGGTGGCCAAAGTATTAGAGTTTCAGCTTCAGAATCAGTCCTTCCAATGAAAAGTCAGGACTGATTTCCTTTAGGATGGATTGGTTGGATCTCCTTGCAGTCCAAGGGACTCTCAAGAGTCTTCTCCAACACTACAGTTCAAAAGCATCAATTCTTCGGTGCTCACCTTTTTTTATAGTCCAACTCTCACATGTGTACATGACTACTGGAAAAACCATAGCTTTGACTACACGGGTCTTAGTTGGCAAAGTAATGTCTCTGCTTTTTAATATGCTGTCCAGTACCCAATACTTCTATTTAATTGAAAAATATACTTCTAAATAATAACTGATTGATGTGCCAGTAATCTAAATAATTATTAATTTATTTCATTATATTTTAGAATTATAAACTATTGATAAGTGTTCACTCTTTTTTTTTGGGGGGGGGGGAATCACACTGTGTGTCACGTGGTATCTTACTTCCCTAACCATGGATCAAACCTGTGTCCCTTGCAGTGGAAGCACAGATTCCTAACCACTGGACCACCATGGAAGACCCAAATGCTCACTATTTCTGAAGCAAAAAAAAAAAAAAAAATCAATCCCACTACTAATCTGTATTAGGTAGTTCCACTTGTCCAATGCTGGGTCAATTGACTGTTTTTTATTTCCCCATGCTATTAATGCTGTTATTCCTATAGAATAGAGACCACTCATGTCAAATTATTTTTATACAACCTAGAAGAGTGCAATGCACTAGTAAATACACTGGTAATTAGTTTAAATTTTTGTTAATATATCACAATGACTGATATAATCGTTAACAAAAGGAGAAAAATATATACTCATTTTGCTATTTCAAGTTAGCCTCAAATAAATATTTACATTGAATGAGTTGTTCTTTCATGAAAGGAAGGAAGACAGACAGGAAGCCATGACAAGAGAAGGGAAATTTTTTTTAAAAAGGAAGAAAAGGAGAATTTTTAAAAAGGAAGAAAAAGATAATCCAGTGGATAATTCACTACTTCTAATTCCTTACTGAGTCAATACAAGAAACACTATGAAGTGCAGCTTCACAAATGCTCAGAGGGTGCATAAGGAAAATGAGAACTGCTAAAGGCATCAGAGACCAAACTGAACACAGGTAAGCTATTAACAGCAATTAATTAAATCACACCCAGATGCAAACCTGGAGTTCTAAAAAGTTTTTTCCGACTGACGTCTTTCTGCTAATAATGTTTCTGAACACTAGATGGCACTGAACTAAAGGTTTAAATGAAAGCACAAACATAAAAGTAGACTTAATGTAAATAGAAAGAATATGTAACTGCTTCACTTCAAAACATACGTTAACAATTCCCTCACCTGGAAAGAGGTCTGTACATCTCATAAATATCTCCCAATAAATTAGTCCAAGTGCATACATATCTACTTGTTTCAAAGCTGATTCACAGTCCCTAAGGTTCACAGCTCCTTCCAGAACTTCTGGTGCCATATATCTGATTGTGCCAACCTGATAAAAAAGAGTGATATGTATTTCAGGAAATAATGTAGCATATTCTGAAGGGCATACATTAGGCCAGAAGTTATACATAAATTTCAAGTCAACAACAGGTCAATATGCTTATTTGAACCTAAGTATGTCACTGAACCTTTTTAGACCTCATTTTTTAAACTATAAAATGCCCTTTTCAGAACATCATGGTTGCGTCCAGTTTTCGGTAATTATGAATAAAGCTGCTTTAAGCTTGATGTGCAGGTGTTTGTGTGAATATAAGTTGTTAACTCAACAGGGTCTATATACCTAGGAGTGTGACTGCTGGAATACTATGTTTTCCAAAGTGAACATTATCAAGCTTTCCTACCAACAAGGAGTGGGTTGCTGTTGCCCCACATAGTCACCAGCATTTGAAATTCTTGTTTTTTTAAAACCATTCAAAGGCAATGGCATCCTGCTTTGATTTGCAGTTCTTGAATCATGAATCACACTGAGTAACTTTCACATGCTTATCTGCCATCTGTATACATTCTTTGGTCAGGTGTCTATTTAGATCTTCTAGTTATTAATTGACTTGTTTGACTTCTTACTGTTGAGTTATAAGAGTTTTTATATTCTGGATACAAGTCCTTTATCAGATATGTGTTTTTCAAATATATTCTCCCAGTTTGAGGGTTGTTTTTTCATTTTCTTAACATTGTCTTTCACAGAGCAGAAGTTTTTAATTTTAATAAAATTCATCTTAGCAATTTTTTCTTTAAAAAAGTACCCTCTTGAAATACTTAAGCTGTGACTCAGTCATCCTAGTCAACAGTGCTCACGCTTGTGTGTGCTGAGTTTCTCAGTCATGTCCGACTCTTTGCGACCCCACGGACTGTAGCGCACCAGGCTCCTCTATCCATGGGATTCTCCAGGCAACAGTACTGGACTGAGTTGCCATGCCCTCCTCCAGGGTATCTTCCCAACCCAGGGTTCAAACCCAGGTCTCCCACATTGCAGCTATGCTTTACCATCTGAGCCACCAGGGAAGCCCAGTCAACAGTATTCCTCCTGCTGCTTTGACAAAAATAACTTGGAATGGTAGTGATTTCCACATGAACTGATGAACTTCATGCAATGTTTTCTGTATATCTTAATTCTGTAATTCCTAACTGGATAAGGACAATTGTCCTGAGTAGTTAGTAGATTTTTAAATTCAATTTATTATGTTTTTAAGTATGTCAGTGTGATACCTTTTGTATACACTCACCTCACTTATGGCTGCATTATCTTCCTCCCCTGGGCGCACCAGTCTATTTCCAGTCAGCTTCATGGACAACCCAAAGTCACTAATAACGCAGGTTCCATCATTTTTCACCAGAACATTTCTGCTGTTCAAATCTCGATGGGAAATTGCAGGTTTATAATGATCTGTTTGGATAATTTTCAAATATTTATTAATGCTTCAATTGCACTACTGGACACAGAATGAGCAGGAAGGTAATATAAAGAAGACTGCTGTTTTTCTTCCCTATACTTTTCTAATAAGAGAAAGTATGTAAATAAAATTTTCAACTCACAATCCTGTTTTCATTGTATTTCACACATAATTCCTTCTGCATCTATAATTAATTAAACTTTAAACATTCAGCTGCAATTACTAGTCAATAGGATCTTGCTTCTAATTTTAACATATACTAGTTTGGTCCTTTTTTTCCCCTATGGTAGCAAAAGGAGGCTGGAGAAGGCAATGGCATCCCACTCCAGTACTCTTGCCTGGAAAATCCCGTGGACAGAGGGGACTGGTAGGCTGCAGTCCATGGGGTCGCTAAGAGTTGGACATGACTGAGCGACTTCACTTTCACTTTTCACTTTCATGCACTGGAGAAGGAAATGGCAACCCACTCCAGTGTTCTTGCCTGGAGAATCCCAGGGATGGGGGAGCCTGGTGGGCTGCCGTCTATGGGGTCGCACAGAGTCGGACACGACTGAAACAACTTAGCAGCAGCAGAAGCAGCAAAAGGAAGCAATAAAAAAAAAGAATATTTGGCAAAAACAAAAAGTAAATTTATCTAAAACAATTATCACTGTAAAACTGGCATGGCTCTGAAATTGGTAAATGTATCTTATAACCTATGACAGAAAAATCCCAGTTTTGCCCTGAGGCTTAGCTATGAAGCCTACCAAAGTTCTTCAAATCAAACTAGAAACAGTTTTGCAGTGGACTGTTTTCTGATTTTACACAACAAAATACTCCTATACTCATTCTGTTACTTGTTTATCAGAAGACCTTTATGTTCTATGAAGGCAGAGAGAGGGCACGTTCTGCCTAAATTCAAAAGGCCTGACACAGAGACACACACACACTGCCTGGAAGAATATATCCAACCAAGGCCCCTAACTAAAATCATAATTCTTTTCCTCTTGATAAGAAAACAATGGAGGAGGGAGGAAGGAAGGAAAGGACTGGGAGTTTGGAATTAGCAGATGCAAACTATTATATATAAAGTGGAAAAACAAGGTCCCACTGTATAGCACAGGGAACTATATTCAATGTCCTGTGAAAAACTACAATGGAAAAGAATATGAAAAAGAATATATATGTACAGCTGAGTCACTCTGTTGTACAGTAGAAATTAATACAATATTGGAAATCAACTACACTTCAATAAAATTTAAAAAAGAAAACTTTACATAAATCTTACATTGAAATAAAACCACAGCTCTTAAAAGGAAAAAAAATTCTATAGTATAATTCTCAAAATTTAAAATAACTCCTTAGTTATAAAGAAATAGGGCAATGAGAACAAAGTCAATGATAAATACAAACAGAATGTTTACATTTAGGCACAAAAAGACTCAGAATTTACATTTACTACTCTCATTAACACGTATTAAACTGCAATTTCACCAACAATAAAACCAAAGACAGGAGATAATGATTCCTTTGACCAAAAAGAAATGATACAAATGAACTTACTTACAAACAGAAAAAGACTCACAGACTTATAAAATGAACTTATAGTTGCAGGGCTAGAGGAGGGATAGTTAGGGAGTTTGAGATGGTCATGTACACACCGCTACATTTTAAAGGGATAACCAACAAGGACTATTGTATAGCACATGGAACTCTGCTCAATGTTATGTGGTAGCGTGGATGGGAGGAGGGTTTGTGGGAGAATGGATGAATATAACTGAGACCCTTCTCTAGTCATTTGAAACTATCACAACTCTGTTAATCAGCTATAGCCCAATATAGAACAAAAAGCTCAAAAGAAAAAAAAAAGGATTCCTTTGATACGGGGAGGAAAACACAATAGCACAACTGGAAGAAAAATAGCAGTTACTAGGTTTCTATGAGTTGATTTCTTTCTCATTTGTTCCCCTTCCTACTTCCTGGTCCAGTCTTCCAAAGTCTGTACTGACATGGCTCACTCAACCCGTAAAAGAGCTGCATTTCTTATTCTGGATAAAACCAGAACATAAGTATACATGGTTTAATCTTGAGCTGCTATTTATATAAGAAAATTTACAGAGATACCTGAAAATGTTTGTATAACACCATACCAATAATTAAGCTAAATCATCTCACACTAGGGAAACTAGGTTAATAAAGTGAAGAACGATACAAAGAGTCAGTCAGTGAGCCAGCAGAGGGGAAACTCGGGTAATACTTTCTGATACTATTAAAAAGGAAATAAAAGGTGGAGCAACTGAGCCCACATGCAGTAACTACTGAGCCTGGGCTCTAGAGCCCAAGAGCCACAACTACTTAAGTCCATATCCTTCCCCCTTCCCCTCTGGTAATCACAGTTTGTTTTCTATGTCTGTAGGTCTATTTTGTCTTATAAATAAGTTGATTTGTATCTTTTTTTTTTCCAGACTCTACATATAAGTGATATCATATGATACTTGTTTGGCTTAATTCACTTAGTATGATAATCTCTAGGTCCATCCATGTTGCTGCAAATGGAATTATTTCATGGCTGAGTGAGCACATAACACAATATTCCTTTTATATGTGTATATAATTTGTGTGTGTGTGTGTGTGTGTATATCCCCCTTTTATATATATCATATCTTCCTCATCTTCATCTGTTGATGGACATGTACGTTCCTTGGATATTGTAAATAGTGCCACAAGGAACACTGGGATGCATGCATCTTTTTGAATTATAGTTTTCTCTGCATATGTGCCCAGGAATGGGACTTCAAGGTAATAAGGTAACTCTACTTTTGTTTTTAAGGAACTTGCATACTACTCTCCACAGTGCTGTGCCAATTCATATCTCCACTAGCAGCATAGGAGGACTCCTTTTCCTCCACACTCTCTCCAACGTTTATTACCTGGAGACTGTTAGATGATGGCCCTTCTGACTAAATGAGTTGCGGAACATTTTTTAAATAATTAGGTAATAAAAATTCAAATAGCTATTATACTGATGTTTTTTATAATAGCATATATTCAGTTGTTTTTTTATTTAAGGTTAACTATTTAGCAATAATATAAGGTAATGTTTAAGAATAGAATCTGTGTTTAAATAAAACTCATATTTAAGGGCAATTATTCTTTCCAGCCAAAGTTTGACTGGAAAACTTTCTGAATCATGGGAGCCTTGAAAAGGGGGATTAGGATGGTATTTTAATTTTTGTGCTAGGAGAGCTCTTTAAAGGAGTTATAATATTTCAGAATAAAGAAACACAATTCAAATGGTTAATGAGCTAACGCACTAAAGTAAGTGCATCAAGTTGCTGACATAGGCAATAACATTGAGCAATTTTGTATTCAAGAAAAGCAAGATGTCAAGATAAATGAACTGATAAATTATTCAGGAGAAATTATTTATATATGAAGCAGCAGCTAAAAAAGATGATCCACGCTATTATACAATGGAACAAAGATCTGAGAAATTGATACATTAAAAATTCTCTTCATTACAGAGGTCAGAGAAAGTGAAAAAAGAATGTATGGCAAGAAAACTGCTGTAGTGATATAAACACAAAGACAGATTTTCATAGCAAAGCTAATTTTGAGGGGCCTGGGATATGATATGAGGTGTACTTTGAAACAAAGTGAAGAAAGCAAATATATTAAAAAGATGTTTTGGAAAACTAGCAAAAATGTACATAAAGACTGAATAAAACTGTAGTTACAGCACTACACTCAGTATTGGCATAATAAAACCACTCAGCATTGACCCACTGGCACAGACGGAATCCTCACCACGCATCCTCATTATCTGAAGCAGCAATACACCTAGCTAAAACTAACAAACACACACTGCACTGAAACACCCCTTGCAGCTAAGTGAGGTGGGAAAGCATGGACTAAGCTCTGGGAAAGAAAATATAATCACAAGAGTGGGACTTCCGGAGGGAAAAGGGGGCAATTCCTTCTATTCTCCCTTTTCTCTGATTAGCATATAGCATGATGGACAATGAGGTGATCCTGAAAACATAAGCCACATATAAAGATTAATGTAGGAGAAATATAGGAGTCTGGGGCCCTAACACAACTATGGTGCTGCCAAAAAAATGTGATGTCTCTAGATAGTTACATGAGAAAGGAAAAAAACAGTCATTCTCATTGAAATCTGTTATATTTTTCTCCCTGATAAATTTGAACAAACCTAATGCTAGCTAAGAGAAGCACTGATTTATAAAAAGATATATTTGGGTTTTATACTGAAGACCAACCAAACTATAGAATGTGTGCCTAAAGAAGTAACAATGCATATGTAGTTCATTTAAATAAGCAAAACATATACAACGAATATACAATGCAGTCCAGCTAAGAGGTTCTTAACCTAGGGCCAGAGAGGAACGTCAAAAGATTGAGAACCCCTACAATCACAAGAATATTTTTTAAAGTATGCCCATATGCGTATCTTTAAAGGGAGAGTGTTCATAGCTTTAATTAAAATCTCAATGAAATCCATGACTTATCTAGAGTAATGAAGTTCTTTTTCTTATTCTTCTTGTTAAATTTCAAATACATTTCCTCACACAAGATCTTTTAAACAACTGGCTAATAATACATCTGCTGTAATATAAAATATATTTTTATTCTGAAGATACAAATAAAGCTTCCATTTGTGAACTGTGTCCCCATATGGTTTTCAGCATCTTCTTGTCCCCATATGGTTTTCAGCATCTTCTTATCACTGACTTACCTCCCCGTGGTAATTCAGTATGAAGATAAGCCAATCCTCTAGTCACAGAATGAGCCAGACGGCAAGAGCTTACCCAGTCACTTGTATGGAGACTTAAATACTTGCATAGAGATCCCTATATGGAGGGAAAAAAGGAAAAGGGAAGGGGAAAAAAGTGTAATTACTTTATTTGAACATGAGGAGGTAAGTGAGCAGCTGTATAAAGGGATTTACATATGTTAGGATTGAAAGGAGGTCTAATGAATCACATTTCAGAACACTGAAGAAAAGACATCTCCGGGTAGAGAAAGGAAGAGAGAATGGAAAGTAGAATTTAGACATTATCAATTTTTTTTTCCATTTATTTTTATTAGTTGGAGGCTAATTACTTTACAACATTGCAGTGGTTTTTGTCATATATTGAAATGAATTAGCCATGGATTTATATGTATTCCCCATCCCGGTCCCCCCCCCACCTCCCTCTCCCCCCGATCCCTCTGGGTCTTCCCAGTGCACCAGGTCCGAGCACTTGTCTCATTGACATTATCAATTTTTATGCCTCCAGTATAAAAAATTATGGAAGGTTATTTAATTTCATTTTAAAGGCTTTGATTTATCAACTTAAGATAGAAAAAAAGTATTTTCAGCTGCTTCTTTACATGGTATCTTTTACCAGGACAAAACCAAATTATCCTATTATGTTTTACAAGTAGAAAACTTTTTTACAATCAGAAGGCTTTTGTAAATATATGTCATAGCTACTCAAGGTGCTCATCCATAAATTCCTTATTACCAGGCTGAAATAAAGAGCATGCATCAGAGTAAATGTCAATCAAAGCACTGCCTCCTTCATCGAGAAGTCTTGCTAAGAGAGAGACAGGGACATATTGACAGAGGTTCAGGGCACTAAACAGTTTCATTCACATTCTGGGATAAAATCCTTATTTCACTGTAGACCATTAATACTCAGTTTGCAAACCAGCAACTCTCTATGTAACAGGGATCCTCTTACAAATCCGATTAACATAAAAGTCAGTAAACTTTTTAAGAAGAACTTACATTGGGATAATACTCCATCACAAGCAAATACTCCATGCGTCCATCTGCAGTGACTCTCTCATCTCCAACTATAAAGCGAGCAATGTTGTCATGTTCCATCAAAGGCACTCTGTAAATGTTCTTCTCATTGATAAAATTCTGACGGTTTGCAAAGGAAAACACTTTTACAGCAACTGGACGTTCATCTAAGGAACCTTTATATACAGCTCCATATCGACCCCGGCCAATCAGCTGTAAGTTTGTTTTGAAAAAAAGCAAGATGTTATTTCTTCACAACTGAACAGTCAAATTTACTAAATAATAAAGTACAAATTTGTATGTATCCAACAGGTCTCTAATGCTTAGTCTGAATTACTCCATTATCAATAAACTAACAAATTAGGCATCCTACACAGCTCAGAAACACGTACCATACCCAGCCCTTCCACAGATGACTATTATAAACTCTGAACAAAATTTTTTAAAAGAAATCTAAAAATGCAGGGGAATGAACAAAAGTAGGTAGATCCTGAGGGGACTCAACATTTAGAAGAAAGAAATGGCATAGGGTGAGATACTTATTTTATAGCATTCAGTCTGTGAGCAGGCTGCAATCTGCACTGTGTATTGGATAAAAAATTGCAATAGAAAGTCTTTCCAGCTTCAGGAACCAGGGAACAGAATTTAGGGCAACCACTGCTGATGGAGAATGAACACAGAACCCAAAAAGGAGCATCAGAGAGTGGGAAATTCAACTAATGCATAGGACAGACTCCAGGTAAAGGATCAGTAACAAGAGAAAAGCTTGTAATATGCCTAACAAAGATAACTGCCTACCAAAACTAGCAATGAAATGAACACACTTTATAAGAACTGAACAGAATACAGTGTTTCCACAACACAACATTCACAGATTCCAGTACAATACAGTAAAAAATTACTCAAACAAAACCCCCAGCAATTTGCAATCATTCTCTTCATTTCTGGCTTCTGGAACTTCTCTGCCTTTTTACCGAAAAAAGCTTAGGAATTTACCACCATTTATTTAATGATATTTGTTATATTTCATTCACTATTCCTAATTTAAATTTTTACAAACAGATAAGATTGCCCTTTAGAAAGGCTGTATCAAAGCAAAGTTAAATCAGCAATGGCTGGAGTGTTTCTTTCACTCAATCCAGAACAACATCCTAATGGTTTTAATTCATATTTTCTCCAGTTTAGTAAACTGGACATCTTATTATACATTTACTAGGTATACTTCCCTGTAGCTCAGATGGTAAAGAAAGTGAAGTCACTCGGTTGTGTCTGACTCTTTGCGACCCCATAGACTGTAGCCTACCAGGCACCCCTGTCCATGGGATTGTCCAGGCAAGAGTACTGGAGTGGGTTGCCATTTCCTTCTCCGGGGGATCTCCCCAACCCAGGGATAGAACCCGGGTCTCCCACACTGCAGGCAGATGCTTTACCGTCTGAGCCCCCAGGGAAGCAGACGGTAAAGAGTGCAGGAGACCCAGGTTCGATCACTGGGTCAGGAAGATCCCCCGGAGAAGGGAATGGCAGTCCACTCCAGCACTCTGCCTGGAGAGTTCCATGGCCAGAAGAGCCTGGCGGGCTACAGCCCATGGGTCACAAAGAGTCAGACACGACTGAGCGACGACCACCACTACTACTACTAGGCATACTTACTTCTGTGAATTGACAATTCATCTCTTTTGTCTATTTTTATTGGATTGTTTATTTCATGTTGATTTCTACCAGCTCTTTATCAATTCTTTATGGACTGAAATACCTTTTTTGAATTTTGCTTTTCAGTTTTATTGTATTTTCCTCCCAAAAAGAAAGTTCTTAAAATGTTTTATATACCAGATCTATCATTTAACAGTCTCTGGTTTAGACATTATAGTTCAGTTATCCTAATAAATGGCATAAAAACATTCATCATGGTGAGACTTTTAACACAGGTTGAGATATTACCAAATGAAAAGTTAATTTTATGCAAAACCTAATATTTGTATGTACCTATACAATACATAATATATATACAAACAAGTAATGTTTATTTGGCATCTACTATGGAATCCTTGCCTGTACATTTTCTCTGAGAATTTGATATGTCTTTATTCCCATACTCTGTTCAAGTCTCTAACTTAAAGATTATCTCCTTTCTTAATATACTTTCCTTACTAACCCCTTTCTGTAACTTTCTCATCTCATTTGCATTTTTTTCTCCATAGCACTTACTACTACTTGAAATATATAGTGACCTATCCACAATGTGGGGTTAGGGACACCTAATCTCCACATAGTCCAAAAATTCACATATAGCTTATAGGTGACCCTTCATACACACATGGTTCTTCTGGTCCCTGGTTCTATATCCACAGATTTAATCAAATATGGATGGTGTAGTAACATCTACTACTGAAAAAATATCTGTGTATGAGTGGACCCATACAGTTCACACCCATGTTGTACAAGAGTCAATTGTACCTTCATTTATCTACCCTCTTGTAGACTCCTTCTCACTAGAGTATAAGCCTCAAGTATCTGTATTGGTCACCAACATTCTCAGTGCCTTGAAGATGTCTTGACACAAAATTTTTAACAAATGGTCATTGAATAAATGAATAAATGAATTAATCACTGTCTCAGATGTACTATGTGGACAGGGAAAAAAAAAAAAACAGTCCATAATCTGAAAGCAATCTTACCTCCAACAGTTTCAGATTATCGAGGTCAAGAGAGGGCTCTGATGCTGCTGCCTCCATCATATTCATACTGTGAAGACCTTGTTTGCGGTCTCCTACAGAAATTAGAAAAAGAACTTGCTAATGAGTGGTTCTCTTAGAAGTGAAAATATTTATTATATATTTTTATATATTACAGTTAAGTAGAAGATCTGCAGAAGGACAGACAGCATAACTTATATCTAATATCAATGGGACTAAAACTTTACTAAACTAAGAATCATCTATAAATGAAGATAAATAAAGAATAACATGAAAGCTGAACTCTGGGAGATGGTTCCAGTACACCTAGTGTAAAACCCTAAGAAATGGACAGAAATAACAAGGAAGATTTTATTAAAATTATTCAAATCAATGAATGGGTGCTTATTTCCTAGAAAGCTTATCAAAAGTTTATTAGAACCAATTAGACAGCTGATGATTAGGAATTATTTTTAATTACTGTTATTCTTAGATGTAAAAATGGTTATACTCCAGACATAATACTAAAATATTTACAGATAAGGGATACTTTCAATTTATTTCAAAAGAATCCAACAGCATGGAAGGGTAGGGTGAGTGGGCCTATAGATGATATACAGATGTAACAATCACTGAAGCTGGGTGATAAGTATTCTGTATATGTTTGAAACCTTTCATAAAAACTAGGGGAAAAAGTCTAAAACACAAGGATGGCTCCAGGGCTACTGCAGAAAACAGATGCTTTTTACAATGAAAAATTGTTTTTTAAAGAAAATCAATTCTGATTAAACACAATGTTTAATAAATATTACAAAATAAATAATAAACAAAACAAAAACCTGCATTTTTACCTGTCAGCATCCTATATCCAAAGCATAAGGCAACTATCAAAACAGCTAATACAGAGACTGATGCCAATGCAATGATTATTGTCTCATCTCGGTTAAATGAATGAGGTGGACCTAAAAGAAAGTAAAATTTTTAAATGTAGTCATCCTTCCTTTCTGGTATTTTGCTAACTACTTACAGACAGGCTATATCAATATACAGTCAAATCAGCAATGTTTTGGCATCAAAGGAAAATGAAGAAAAATTAATAACAAATTTGTCATAATTGAAAATTGCACATATATTTAATCATACAAATTATTTTATATAGACCCCAGAACACTGAAATACTGAAATGCCTGGTAGTTGTGCTTCTATTTTCTAGAAGCTGTAGATAACTGGCATCACTTCTTTAAACAGTTGCTAGAATTCAACAGTGAAACCATCTCAGCTTGGTACTTTTGGTTTAAGGAAGTATTGATTATTTAAAGAAAGATTCATAATCTTTCTTTACTATCCATGGGATTTGTAGGTATGACATTTCTTTCACTTCTGATTATTAGATATTTATTTTTTAAATTTTACCTTGGAAGCCTTGCTAGAGGTTTATCAACTTTATTGATCTTTTTAAAGAAACAGCTTTTGGTTTTGTTGCTTTTTCTCTATTAATTTCCTGTTTTCAACTCAACTGATCCTTCATCTAACATATACTCTTTTTCTTCGCTTACTTTGGATTTAATTTGCTCCTCTACTTGTAGTTTCTCAAGGTAAAAACTTACGAAATCACTACAATTTATAATGAAATAATAAAAGGACATACAAAATTAAATCCAATTTCAAGTAACATTTAAAAAGAAGTACCTGCCCGGAACTGTAGCACCAATATGAAACCAAGAAGGACCCTGTGGGCTTTCCGGACACAAAACCCAGTGTCCCCTGTTTCTTTTTTGAAGGAAATAGGTTTCATTCAGCCTTTAAGACTTCCCCTGAGTTTCAAAGAATAGATTCAAACAGTTGCTAATCAAGAAAATGAGAAGCTGCCAAGAAATGGAGAAGCAGTCAAGAAACAATAGTGCATTTTTGGAGCAGGGTCCTGGTTCCTCCTCAAGGAATATACATATCTATATCCTTGAGTTCTTCTACAGTACCTCCACCAAATGGAACATGCTAACTAGCTGATGAAGCATTCTCCATTCCAGAGAGAAGGTCAGTTACCACAGAATCCCTGAATCCCATCAGGAGACCACCAGATGAATCCTAAATTGAAAGAATGCAGGAACCCAGGTCCTTATCAGCAGCCCCACTCCTTGACTGTGAGACTCTCCTCACAAACCACCTCTCCCAGGTTAGGACACAGTTTTGAGGGCATTAGCTGGCTATGGCCCCCTTTGCCTGGCAAAGCAATAAAGCTGTTCTCTTCCATTTCACACAAACTCTGTCTCCGAGATTCAATTCAGTGTGGATGTACAGAGACAAATTATCAATAGCAAATGTGACAGACAAAATTTATTTTTGATAGAATGAAGCTGTTTTCTAACTGGATTAATAAAATTCACAAATCTAATACGAAACAAAGGTTTCCTATTTCCAAATTAGAAAGGATAATTATTTAAACGGGTATTTATTTTCTTGTGTAATTTAAACACATACATGAGTTAATAATGTCTTAAAAACACTACAAGACATTAAAAGATTATAAAAAGCACTGTAATATTACTAAAATAGGCACATAATAAATCAAATAGACTAGGCTATCTACATCTTAGAAGAATCATCAACATAGGATAATCAAATGATTTATTTAGAATGATCTATAGAAAGGGAGAGAGAGAAGAAACCATTTATAAAAGATGTTTAAGTATGAATACAATTAAACTGTTCTGCATGCTGTATGAAGAAAGAAATGGCAACTCACTCCAGTACTCTTGCCTGGAGAATCCCATGGACAGAGGAGCCTGGTAGGCTGCAGTCCATGGGGTCACTAAGAGTTGGACACCACTGAGCGACTTCACTTTCACTTTTTTTACGCATTGGAGAAGGAAGTGGCAACCCACTCCAGTGTTCTTGCCTGGAGAATCCCAGGGACGGGGGAGCCTGGTGGGCTGCAGTCTATGGGGCTGCACAGAGTCAGACATGACTGAAGCAACTTAGCAGCATAGCTGTAAGCTGTTGAAAAATCATTGCTAGAGAGATCAGATTGATATGAAATCACAAGTTTTGGAATGGTGTTTATGAGGAGAAGCTTGGCATTGATTATGAAGCCAACAAGAATATTGCAGAAATTTAAAAAAAAACAGATTCTATAAGGAACAAATGTAGTCATAATCAAAAAAATGTTCCTCACAGTTGTATATCTATTCAAACAGCTGATTTCTAGAATATATGGATTAAATAACTGCATTCCGCTGGAGAAGGCATAGGCTACCCATTCCAGTTTTCTTGGGCTTCCCTTGTGGCTCTGAGGGTAAAGAATCTACCTGCAATGCAGGAGACCTAGGTTTGATCCCTGGGTTGGGAAGATCTGGAGAAGAGAAAGCCTACCCACTCCAGTATTCTGGCCTGGAGAATTCTGTGGCCTGTATAGTCATGGGGTCACAGAGAGCTGGACATGTCTGAGTGACTTTCACTTTTTAAACAATTCATGTGGATCACAACACACTGTGGAAAATTCTTAAAGAGATGGGAATACTAGACCACCTGGCCTGCCTCCTGAAAAACTTATATGCAGGTTAAAAAAAAAAAAATTAGAACCAGACATGGAACAATGGACTAGTTCAAAATTGGGAAAGGAGTACGTCAAGGCTGTATATTGCCACCCTGCTTATTTAACTTATATGAAGAGTACGTCATGTGAAATGCTAAGCTAAATAAATCACAAGCGGGAATCAAGATTACTGGGAAAAATATGAATAACTTCAGATATGTATATGATACCACCCTAATGGCAGAAAGGACTTCTTTGGTGGCTCAAAGGGTAAAGTGTCTGCCTACAATGCGGGACACCCAGGTTCAATCCCTGGGTTGGGAAGATCTCCTGGAGAAGGAAACGGCAACCCACTCTAGTATTCTTGCCTGGAAAATCCCATGGTTGGAGGAGCCTGGTAGGCTGCAGTCCAGGGGGTCACAAAGAGTCAGACATGACTGAGCAACTTCAATTAATGGCAGAAAGCAAAGAAGAACTAATGAGCCTCTGATGAAGGTGAAAGTAGAGACTGAAAAAGTTGGCTTAAATCTCAACATTCAAAAAACAAAGATCATGGCATCTGGTCCTACCTCTTCAAGGCAAATAGATGGGGGAAGAAATGCAAACAGTGACAGACTTATTTTCTTGGGCTCCGAATTCAGTGCTTGCTCCATGAAAGAAATGCTATAACAAACCCAGGTAGTGTATTAAAATGCAGAGACATTACTTTGTAGTCATGTACAGATATAAGAGTTGGACCATAAAGAAGTCTGAGTGCCGAATAACTGATGTTTTTGAACTATGGGGCTGGAGAAGACTCTTGAGGGTCCATTTGGACAGTAAGATCACACCATTCAATCCTAAAGGAAATCAATCCTGAATATTCATTGGACGGACTGATGCTAAAGCTGAAGCTCCAATACTTTAAGCCACCTGATGCGAAGAGCTGATTCATTTGAAAAGACCTTGATGATGGGAAAGATTGTTGGCAGGAGAAGAAGGTGGCAACAGAGGATGAGATGGTTGTATGGCATCTCCTACTCAATGGACATGAGTTTAAGCAAATTCCAGGAGATAGTGAATGACAGAGAAGTCTGGCGTGCTGCAGCCCATGGGGTCTCAAAGAGTTAGACATGACTTAGCGACTAAACAAGAACAACAATCAATTGATGTACATACAGTTCCTTTAACAAATATACTTTATATCCCCAACTGAATATTTTAGAGATATCCAAACAACATATTCAAAACTAAGCTCCTTATTTCTACCCATTCCAAAAAAAGGGGAGGCAATTTACCTTGCCCAGTAGCACCACGGAAAAACGATTAGTAGAGAAGAGCAAAAAATCTTGGTAAAAGACAATGAGTAGCATGGAAGCATATATACTAACCTATGTAAAACAGATAGACAATGGAAATTTAATGTATGACTTAAGGAATTCTGAAACAACCTAGAGGGGTAGGAAAGGGTGAGACGTGGGAGGGAAATTCAAGAGGGAGGGGAACATGTACACATATGGCTAATTCATGTTGATGTATGACAGCAATCAAACCAATACTGTAAAGCAATCTTCAATCAATTAAAAATAAATACAATTTTAAAAAAAGACAGTGAGTATCTACAATTAAATATGTTTTTTTAACTTAAAGAATTTTGTATAAAATGCTGTTAAAAGTAAAGTGTATATTTTTTATGCCTTCTCAAACTAAACATACTGGAGCAAATTCAAATTTCTACATGACTGGGCCATAATTTTCAATATCAACTAGTCTATGGTGATATTCTCAAGGACTATTAAGGATCCTCACACTTTTGAGTTTTCCTGGATTACTGCATCTGATTTCCAATTTTTCCATCTCATCCTTTGCAATCTCTTCTTTATGTTGTCAATATGCTTGCCTTAAGGTTTTTATAATCTAGCTCAGGTTTTAAAAACAGACAGCTTAATTTGTTACAAATGAATATAAACTTTAAGAAAACACACTTTTAAAAAAGTCTAAGGGACTTTTCTAAAAATATAAAAAAATTTAATAGAAAAACTCTGTAGCATCTATTGTGGCTGCTAATAGTAAAGAAAATTAATTTATAGAGACTCGGTACTGCAGCAGTCCATAAAATTATACATTATTAGGAGTTCACTGAAATTTGATTTCCAAACTTACCTTTCAATATCTGGTGTGAGAAATTACCCAGGAAGTCAAAACAAATCTGCACTTTCACAGTGCAGGAAGCAAATGAAGCCTGTGTGTTTGGCCTTTACTGAAGACACAAACCTGTGTGTTACCCATGCCAAGTGTGTAACAATTATGCCAAAAGACATTCAACCAGTATGCTACATGTGTGAAAAATGAGCTTAAGAACCCACTCTGATGGAAAACATTTCATTCTCAAAAAAAAAAAAAAAAAAATTTTTTTTTTCCTCTCCTTCCTGTTATTCTTAATTCTGAATA